AGCGTGATTGGCCGAAAAAGTCTTTGAATTTTATTGTGATTCATGAAGATTTATTGCCATTTATCTGGATAAATATAATCATGATAGGTTTCACTGGTTTGACTTTTTGTCACCGACTCTGTTCGAAAGGGACAGTTGACCAGTAGCTACCTGGTCACAGCTGCCCCCCCCCCCCCCCCCTTAGATTTGTGATATTTAATTGGTTAACGTTCACTTAATCAGTGGAATATCATCATTTGTACTTTTGGTGAAGCAGCTGGGCCTGTGGGTGGGTGGAGGGGGGTGGGTGTGTCCCTGATGATTGTCCTCTTCATGAATGTCTTCTGTTTTTGTTTTTAGTCTTCAGTCACTAGTTACCGTTTGTTCAGCCAAAAAAAAAAAAAAATCAGTGACAGTTTCATCCAGTTTAAAAAAAAAAAAATCTAAAATCATTTTTATTGACAAGTGAATAAATAAATTACCCTGGAGATGAAGTAATCTTTATTAAAAATGTTTGATGACTATTGACTTGTGTTATCTGGTCTCAGGTCTTCAGGCTCAGACTCAGTCCTCAGACGAGTCCGGCACTCTGCCTCGCCGTCGTATCACCGGCGACAGTCAGTATCAGAGTGATTTGGATGACGGCCCGTCTCCTGATACGCCGCTCCGTTCCCCCATCCGGTGTATTTCTCCAGAGTTCGCAAACGCCATCGCAATGAATCCTGGAGGACGTCCAAAAGAGGTAGGAAGGAAAAAAAACAAAAAACGCTGATCCCCAGATCGGACTCACTCTTCTGCACAGGTTAATGTTTTTGTCGGCCTCGTTGTTTCTGCCTGCAGAGAAACATGCACAGCTACCGGGAGGCGTTTGAGGAAATGGACGGAGGCCCTGATAGTCCGACACCCACAGTTGGTGGTGAGGTGTTCCCCCAAACCCCTGCCTTCCCCGTTTTGCCACAAACCCCTTACTTCAACCTGTGTAAGTTCCACTCTGGCTGACAGAGGGCACTGTGGAGTTCAGCTCTGTTTAGGTGTTGATACAGTGATTTTTTAATTTGTTTTCCTGACGAGGATGGTTCTGGAAAAAAAAAAGGGTGAAGACGTGTCCACGGAACTGGTCTTCAGACAGAGCGGGACATTTCTGTCCTGGATCATTAACAGCCAAACCACCAGTGCATTTTTAACTGTTCATAACAGCTAACAGCTAGCTAGTTCAGCACCGGGTTAGCCTAAAACAGTCGTTACCTAACTTTGGCCTCGGCGCCCAGGGATCGCTTCAAAACTCCTGAAACAGCTGGATTAAAGTAAAATTAATATATTTATTTTTAAACATAAAATTAGAACATATTTAAGAAAGTGTGAAACTTCTGAAATGAACTACACACACACACAAACACACCATGAAGTGCAGAGAATCATTGATTGATTTGAATTCTTGGGCAGGTTCCATACCACCACAGTGTCTTTTCTTCTCTCTGCTGGAGTGAACCCCCACCATAGCCCTGCATCGCTTTGGCATGAGAACCACATGAGCGCAGCATGGACCACACCATGACAAACACACACACACACACAAACACACACATCATTAAACTGTCATTTCTGAGATTTAATAAAAAACACTTTCCGTAGAAGCCGTGCTGTGCTAAAGTCTTAGGCAGGTGGAAACATTTACTTTCCATGATTGTTTTACAGCTTCTTTTTTTTTCCAAATATTTAAAAGGAAAAAAACACAACTGAAGGATGAAAACATTATTTGAATTTAAACTTTCAATAAAATAGTCTTAGGCTGTAGAAAAACAGATAAACTTCTTTATGACCTGCTGTGAAATCCAAACTATTTCTGAACTTGGCCTCAGGGTCCGGGTCCAGATGCATCTGTCCGTGAAGTTTATCCACAAGCTGGAGCTGTTGGCATGCTTGACAATGGTGCCACCTTGTGTTGAAATATTCTGGAGTCCTTTTTTACAGTTGTAAACTTGCCCCACCCTGATAATTTACTGCCGTGTTAAAAAAAAAAAAAAACCCAACTTGAATTTTGTTGAATTTTTCTTACGTGTTTTTTTTTAATTTCTTTACACAAATTATCTTGAGATAATCCTGGGTCTGATTCCCAGAGGAACTGCATACTTGGTGCCAGCTAGGGGGCAGCCAAATGTGGGCCACATGTGCAGGGCAGTCAGATGTGGACTGCAGCTCAGTATTTGTTTTCCCGTGCTGATTGGCCATGTGCATGCCCCCCCCGCCCCTCCCTCATCAGAGCACGAGGCATGGACCTTAACACCTGCTGCTCCTGTGTGTGAACCAGTGTGTATTTTCTCCTGGTCTTGACAGCTGTACACCTGTGTATCTGCATCAGAAATACATGGAAGTAGATAAAAAAAAAACTATTAACAGTTTACAGCTGTCAAGATTATTGTGACGTCCGAGACTGTGTCCTGACATGTGTCCTGGTCCCTGCAGGTCGATCTCCTCCTGGTCTGGCTAAGACCCCACTGTCGGCCCTGGGGTTGAAGCCACACAACCCAGCAGAAATCCTCCTGAATCAAACAGGCCCAGGTTGGTTTCCACACACTTGTACAAATGTGTATGTGTATATATAAATATATATATAAATAAATATACATATATGTATATATATAAATATATAAATATAAACATATATAAAAATATGTATATATATATAAATATAAATATATATATAAATAAATATACATATATGTATATATTTATATATATACATATATGTATATATATAAATATATAAATATAAACATATATAAAAATATGTATATATATATAAATATAAATATATATATAAATATAAATATATATATAAATAAATATACATATATGTATATATTTATATATATACATATATGTATGTATATATGTATTATATATATGTATATACATACAGTACATATATGTGTGTATGTATGTGTATATGTTTATATATGTCCAATATTCATTTTTTGCCGATATCCAATATGCCAATACACTTACTTTCCGATTTCGATATCGACCATACCGATATAGCAGGGCAGTGGTGTCCCTGGTGGTAAGGAAGTTAAGTGTCGTCTGCTCACTAAGGCAATTATTTTCTGCCATGCTCCCCCTAGGGGACAGAAGTTTTTTCAGTCCCCTCCTCCCCCCGGTAATATTGTGTGTTTGTCATATTTGTGTTCTCTCGGTTTTTCCACCGATGCCCACTCTACACAGACGATCAGAGCAGAACCAGTGATGAAGGTAAGACTGGTCCTGAAAGGTCACAAGGTCATCATCATAGTCCTCATCCTTGTCCTCTCTTCCATGTCTCCGTCCACATGTATGTCTAATAAACTTATATCAGTACGTCGTCATGGACTGTCCACACAGTCTCCATTGATCTCATGATAACGAGGCCCATAGTTTTCAAATATTTGTCTTTTTATTTTCCACACAACCAAAAGTAACTTCTAGAACCGATGTCTTGACATAAAAACCTTTTTCTTTTTTTTTTTTTTAACGCAGCGCCGAGAACCTACGTGGAGTCTGTGGCACGGTCAGCAGCTGCGGCTGGCGAGGTGCCCAAATCCCCACGAAGCCTCAGCCCGCTGACAGAGACAACAAACCAGGAGAGAAGTCCCAGCCCCCCCACCCCCCACCCCCTCAACCCCCCTCTGTCCAGCAGCAGTCCCATCCAGAACTCTCTGGGGTAAGTGTCCCCATGGTGCAGTTGTGTTTTTAATGCGATTGTGTTGTCCACACCTTCGGTCCCCGCCCCTTAGTTTGTTTGTTTTTTTTAGAGTATGTAGTGTGCTGTGAACACACAAACTTTTTTTGTTGTTGTTTACAGCAGTACGGATCTTCTGCTCGTTTTTCTGAATTATCTACCAGCAGAGGGCAGTGTTAACACTCCATCACAACCCACAGTTGATTCCAGCTTCAGTCCTCGCGCCACAGAAATCACCTACCCGACTCCAACCTCCTTATATCAAAGTGCCAACACGCCCATTTCTTCGTACTTTGATTCAAGAACCCCGGCTTCCCCCCACCTCGGCACCAACACCCCCACGCAGTCCTACCTTGACCCCAATGCCTTCCTGGAGAGTTACGTGTCACCGTGTTTGACTCCTCCCGTGCCAAAACCCTCCCCGAACATCGTCAGCCATGGGAGTCACCACGCACCCCAACAAGTCCACGTCCCCGGATCCGCTCACAAAACTGTCCCACAGCAGTGTCCCGGTTCTGGTCAAGACGGTTACAGTCCAAAAATGGTGCCCGCCAATGGGTTTGATGTGGGCGTGCAGAGCTTGCCCGGTGGCAGTCCAGTTCTCGGTCGGCAGTTCTCTGAAAGAGTCCAGAGAAGTCCGGTCCTCAGCAGACAGGCCTCTCTGGGTCAGGTTCCTCAGCACAGTCCTGTCCTCAGCAGACAGCAGTCCCTGGGCCAGCCCACACAGGGCAGCCCCGTCCTCAGCAGACAGTCGTCCGTCACGCACCCGCAGGGAAGCCCACTTTTAGGCCGCCACGTCTCCGTGTCCCAGGCGTCCCAGAGAAGCCCTAGTTTGGACCGACACCCGCTGCACAGCGGATACACCACCCCAGACGAAAGACACGGAAATCTGTCCAGACAGAGCAGCTCCTCAGGATACCAGGGACCACCAACCCCCTGCTTCCCCGTCTCCCCTGCAGGTTACCAGGACGCGGGGGCGTTGGGCGTGGGTGTGGGCTTCAGGCAGGGGAGTCCGGCTCCCGCCTTCCAGCCCCAGCTTCCAGAGAAAAGACGTATGTCCAGTGGGGACAGACCAAATGAGGGTTCCTCGTTTGGTACAATGAACGGGAAGTTGATGTCTCCGGTGGCCGGCGGGGGCACTCACGGCTACTTCCACACGTTCTCCGACTTCTCAAAGTTCAAGACGTCAGGTGAGAACCTTCTCTTCGTTCTAATGAAATGATTTTGAGTTTTCTGAAGAAACAACTTCCACTGTCGACCACTAGGTTTTTTCTCCAAATCTAATCTGGGTGTATTTTTTTTATTAAGTATAACTATTAGGTATGTTTGATATAAACTTTCTGCCGATATCAAATATGCCGATACTGGTGGCCTGGTGGCTAAAGAAGTTAAGTGCTGCATCACAATCCGGTGATACGTTACGTTTCATGATGCGATGTATTGCGATATACTGCGATATTTAAGGCACGATGATATAGTCACGTGGCGTTGAACTGAATTCCAGCAGCGACTGTTTGAAGTCCAACTTAATTTTTTTCTAAACTTTTGTTCTGTCCTGTCAGTGAACATCTGTGCGGACTGTTTCACTTCAGTGGTTTTCAAACTGTGGTATGCTAACCATTGTTGATACTTGGGCGCCCTCTAGTGGTATACAAGGGAAAGGGATTCCCTTTAAGGTTCCTAGAGTCACATGTTAAATTCAGCTGTTCCATATTCTTATGTGTTGTTGTGTCTGTGTGGTTGAAGTACCAGTTGTAGTAATACTTCATTGTGCAGTGTTTTCATAGGGCCATTAGTTTGAAGAAAGAAAAAGAAAAAGAACCAACACCAGGAATATTTGACTGGGAATTGGTGATAAATAATCAATACACTGATGGAGGATATTGATACGGTATCAAGAAAAGAAATATCGCGATACATCAATGTGTTGATATTTTTAAACTCCCCAAGTAAAACATCACTTTGTCTTATTTGTCTCATTCTTTAAATGACCAAATATTTTTAATAATTAGAGGTCATTAAAACCAGAGTGTTATTGAAGTGTGTCGTTTGTAAAAGTGTGTGAAGATGAAAGTCATCTTTAACAATGGTCTGTTCTTCATCGTAGATGGAAGTCCAGAGAACAAACTGAACGTTAAGTTTGTACAGGACACGTCCAAGTTTTGGTACAAGCCGGACATCTCCAGAGAGCAAGGTAAGAACCCTGCAGTTGTACTGCACTACTGCAGTACAGTACCACCGTGGATACCTTCAAGTCTTCACTACTGGATAATGTCGTTCTAGAGTAGAGTATTAGGTAGTATCTGTGAATGTTGTTCTTTAAACAATCACATGGGGAAAGTTCTTGATTTTATGAACTTCTATTTATGTTTTCTTTGGAGTTCTTAATTAATTGTATATCGTATGTATGTTAGCGCTGACAAGTAACAGCAGATAAATGTTTATGTTCCTTACAAACACGTATTAATTTGTCACTAATCCAAATGATAGAAATATTAATATGGAAAAATGTCAAGAAAAATTTAGCCAATTATTTTGGCTGAAATTTAGCAAATTTTAATTTGAGTTTTGTTTTTTTGCGTCCTCCTGCAGAGGGCAGAAGACAAGGTTCATGTGTCTTAGAGCAGATGTTATAGACGTGGTGATGCTAATTATCCTAGATGCTAGCACGAGTGCATGTGCTAACAACATGCTAACTGTGTTACAGCCATCAGCCTGCTGAGGGAGATGGAGCCTGGAGCGTTCATAATCCGAGACAGTCACTCGTTCAGGGGGGCCTACGGCCTGGCCATGAAGGTGGCCTCGCCCCCCCCCACTGTGCATCAGAATAAGAAAGGTAGTGTTTAAAACTTATTAATAACGAGAAAAAAAATGATTTGACCTGTGGTAATGTCTTGAGTTGAACGATGATGACAAACAGACAGAGAAAAAACTTTAAAAAAATGTAAGAGAAATACAAAAATCAGATTTAATAAAAACCTTAGGTCATGTGTGGATTATTAACAAAGCCCTTGCTGCTCTGTCACAGGTGACGCCACAGCCAACGAGCTGGTGAGACACTTTCTGATCGAGAGCAGCCCCAAAGGAGTGAAGCTAAAGGGTTGTCCTAACGAGCCCTACTTTGGTAAAACACACACTCCAAAGGCTGTGTGTTTTGTGTGCGTGTGTTAAATCCAAACAAAGACCATCTATAAATGAGTATCTCGTCTTACGATGTCTCCTGTCTTGGCTAGACACTCAGGGACGTTCTTTTTTTTTTACTTCTGTTACATGTGTGTTTAGTTGAAGACAATGCTGATATACCGGCAGGAATTGAAGAAAGACACACATCTTCTTTAACAAAGTTTAGTTAGTCAGTAAAAGAAATCTTATTTTTCCAGACTGAACATGGTTTACAATCCACTCTCCTAATTGGTCCGCGTCTTCTCCTCAGGTTGTCTCTCTGCGTTGGTTTACCAACATGCTATCACACCACTGGCTCTGCCCTGCAAACTGCTCATCCCTGCCACAGGTTTGTGCTGACAAACAGTCACTCATTCACTGCCAGAACAACCATCTACATCACAATATTATAAATCTAAATAAAAGTTTGTAAAATTATTAATTTTTTTTTCTTAATAAAAAATTTGATTTTTCTAAAACAAATTTGTGTTTTTTGAAATAAGTAAAAAAAAAATTTAGGAAAATCGAATTTTTTATTACATTTCTCTGTAAAATAATCCTTAAAAACTTGATTTATATTTTCATCTAAAAATCGAATTCTTGCATAAAAAACAGATTAATATAATTAAATATTTTTGTAAAGTTTTTTGTAAAAATTATTTACGAAAGAATTTACTGTTCAAAAATTTACTTTTTGTAAAAAACTTTAAAAATATTAAAAAAAAATATTTTAATGTTTTTAATTTAAATTTGACAAATTAAGGTATTTTATTGAACAAAATGCCACATTCCATTAAAAACATATTTTCTTAGGATATTTGAATTATTTGGTTAACATGTTTTTGCCCTTCAAAAGTTTTGTTTTTCTTTGAAACTCACTAATTGTAAATCTTTTGTAACCCCTCCCAGATCTAAATGAGGAAACGCAACCTGTTGCAGCAACAAATCCAGTCACTGAGCAGTTGAAACAAGGAGCAGGTAAAAAAAACAAAACAAAACAAAACAGATTACAGTCAGTGCTTCTGTTTTTATCCCATTTATTTCTCTTGACACAGATGACAGATTTAGAGTGATCAACATTGACATGACAACATGTTTGTTTCTATCTGAATCCCACTGTTCACTTCATTTGACCTCATGACGTTCTTTCCACCACAGTGCAGAAGGCTGCCGCTGATTCCCATGGTAAACATCACAAGCTTTTATTGATGGCCTGATCTGGAATGTGCATCCTGTGTGTTTGTCCGTGAATGTTATCACCTGCACAAACCAGGAAACATTAACAGAGTTGTTGACAGAACCTCCTTCAGACGGCATGCTTTCTCCTGGAACAACACTTGTTGCATGAGGCAGAATTCCTAGATGATGCGAAAGATTTCGTTTCACATTCAAACTGCTTTCAGTCTCTGTTCGACTACTCAACTCCTTCGCTGTCGTCTGTTCCGCTGTGCTAAAGTTTTAGGCAGTTCTGAAAAAATATTGCAGGTGTGAAAGGAGCTCCAGGATTGATTTCATTTTTTTTTTTGTATTTTTTACTTTAATCTTTTAACCTGTACTTTAATTAAACAAAAAACAATGAGAGTACATCGTCTCTTCCCAGCATGCAATGTGCTCTATATCAACTCACTGGAGATGGAGTCCCTGACTGGTCCTCAGGCAATCGCCAAGGCCATCACTGAGACACTGGCTGCTGTTCCGCCACCTACTGCAACTGTTGTGCACTTCAAGGTGTCCTCTCAAGGCATCACGCTGACGGACAACCAGATGAAGTAAGTCACGGAGCAGGGCCGGGAAGGCACTGCGTCAGACACAACAACAACAATCACTGCACTTTCGACTTTCTCTTGTTTTAATATAAGCAGTGATGAACCTGCACAAAAATAGATTTACACACCAATAAAACGATACTAAAAAAAAACAAAACATACATTTACTACTGGGTGACTTAACTCACATTGATTTGTAATCTGTGACTTGTTTTTGTTACAGGATTTTTTTCCGACGCCACTATCCAAACAACACTGTCACATTCTGTGATATCGACCCTCAGGATAGAAAGTGAGTGAAGAAGCATGATTTAACTAAAGAATTCCAAAAAAAAGACGATGACTTTTGTTTGTTCTGTCATGTCCACGTGATGTCCACGCGATTCTCAGCTGTAATTTTTTAAATCCATCGTTTGGTCATAATGTTTTCTTTTCAGGTGGAAAAAGCCAGAAGGGGGTGCTGCAAAGTAAGTCAATGATGTAATGATTTTTTTCACCATCTGACCACATGGCATGAGATTTTTTTTCAGGAAAAGATCATTTTTAGGAAAATTAGTTTTTGACCAAAAATGGCAGGAAAAGTACACATTTGTGTGATAGAAACTTAAAAATATATATATATTTAAAAAAATATTCTTTAAATGTTCTAACTTTTTGAGAAACATGCAGGAAAATATCAAATTTGAAAAAAAATAATTTTACAAAAATATAATTTCTGGAACAAATCTCCAAAAA